GGGTTTGGGGTGGCCTTTTGTATTCTGGTAGTCTGTGGTTCCTTTTTATTGTGCAAGTTTCTCCCAGTGGGTGGGGCTGTATGTTTGGCTTGTCAAGGTTTGCTGGTTAGAGAAGCTTGTGTCGGTGTTCTGGTGGATGGAGCTGGATTTGTTCTCTCTGGAGTGCAATGGAGTGTCCATTAGTGAGTTTTGAGATGGGTCTATGGGTTTGGAGTGACTTTGGGCAGCCTGTGTATTGATGTTCATGGCTATGTTCCTGTGCTGCTGGAGAATTTGCATGGTATGTCTTGCTCTGGAACTTATTGGCTCTTGGGTGGTGGTTGGTTTCAGTGTAGGCATGGAGGCTTTTGGATGATTTCTTATTAATTAATGTTCCATGTAGTCAGGAGTTCTCTGGTGTTCTCAGGTTTGGGGCTTAAGCCTCTTGCCTCTGGATTTCAGTCTTATTCTTTCAGTAGCCTCAAGACTTCTCCCTCCATACAGCACTGATAATAAAACTTCTTGGTTAATGGTGAAAGAATTCTCCACAGTGATGGACAGCCAGAGAGGTTCACAGAATTACATGAGGAAGAGGAGAGGGAGGAAGGAGATAGAGGTGAGTAGGAGGAGAAAAAGGGGGATTCAAGAGAGGAGAGATAGATCTAGGTTGGACTTTGTTCCCTAAGTGTTCTCTGTAGCCCAGACCACCCACAGAGATTCACAGAATTGGATTGAGAAGAGAAGGGGGAGGGAGGAAATAGAGGGGATCTGAGGGAGAAAAAGGAGAGGCAAAAGGAGGAGAGAGTGATCAAACCAGTAATCACACTTAAAAAAACACAAAAAGACAAAAAATTTAAGAAATATATGAAGCTTGCTTTAAAAATAGGGTCTTTTCTTTTTTTTTGTCAGGTTATAGTGGGTTACAAAAATGAAAATTAAGGAGTAATAGAGGACTTTAAAAAATAGAGGAAAAAATTAACTAAAATAATAATAATAGTAAAAATATATCCAGGAATTTCTCTGGAAATGTTGCGGGCAGTGTGGGTTTGGTTCAATTTCAGATAGTCCCTCGTTCGAGCTTACACTTCTTGATATCTATAGGCCCCTTCCAGTGTAGTCAGTGTTAACCACAGGGATTTTAACTTGATGCACCTGTCACTTCTGAAGCAGTTCCCTTTGTTTATTTGGCTTCTGTTTGCAGGTCTCTTCAGTGTCTAATTTCTGCCCTGACACAAGCTGGCAGAGGTGGTTTCTTGTTTAGGTTCGCTTGTTCAGTCGTGCTGTGGGGAGGGAGGGGCACTGCAGACAAACGTCACTGGCGTGTGTGGGGATCATTCACAGTGTTCTGGCCACACTGGTTTTGCCCCCACTCACGGTGTGTGCTTTCCCTGTCTACACTGCTCAGGCTCCAGGCTGCTCTCCAGGGATCGGGCCCTGGATTGCATGCACGTCTCAGGATTAAGCCGCTCAGATTCAGGTGTTTCAGTACTCCACAAAGATGCAGACTCGGTTGGGCCTGTGTTTTGTGCCTTCCCTGCCTGAGCAGCTCAGGCAGCCAGGAGCACTCTCCTCAGGTGCAGCGCACATTCTCCCCTCCGTGGTCCCAGACTCAGTTTCTGGGTGCCCCGGTCTGGTGCACCTTGTGTCTGTTCTGGGGAGCTGGACTCTAGCTGCGACCCTCCTGGTGGATGTCGACCATCCAGAATCTCAGGAAGTCTTTGATTAGAAGCTGGGAGCTTGTTAGCCATTTGGTAGGGGGTGCCATCTCTGGGGCCGACTTTGCCCCTTTCCCCTCCCCCTGTCTCCTGCCTCTGGCAGGGGATGGGCTAGTCCACAGCCGGCTAGCTCTTCTCTGGTATTCTGCTCAGTCCTTCTTTCTGGGAGCGGGTGGGTAGTGCCTAAGTTTAGGGCTTTCCCAAATTAATTCTCTCTCTCTGGTGATTCCACAGTTTAAGTTGCTATTTCACGTTAGCTTCCTCCGATTGCCCTCAGGGTATGCGGGTCCTTACCCTAAGCAATGCTGCCCGCTCCTCTCCATTCCACCCCCACTTGCTGGTGGCGGATGCGAGCATCTGGGGTACTTTTCTGCTGGGAGTTGTTTTTAGGCCTGTAATCAGTGGGTTCTATTTATTTTTCTTCCCAGTTAGGTTGCCCTCCAAGATTTGAAAACTTCCCCAAGACCTGCCAGTGAGAGAGTTTCCTGGTGTTTGGAAACTTCCTGTATTATGACTCTCTTCCTGGGATGGATCTCTGTCCCTAACTCTATTGTCTCTCTTTTTATCTTTTATATTTTGTCCTACCTCATTTCGAAGACCATGGGCTGCTTTTCTGGGTGCCTGATGTCCTCTGCTAGTGATCAGAAGTTGTTTTGTGGAGTTTGCTCAGGGTTTAAATGATTTTTTGATGAATTTGTGGGGGAGAAAGTGGTCTCCCCATCCTATTCCTCTGCCATTTTAGTTCCCTCCCTTCTGCTTTCCCTTTTCAAATGGCAAGACAAGTGGCTGAGTTTCAAAGGTTGAAAGCATTTCAATAATAACCAAGTTACTCCATTCAAATATTGTTAAAAACTATGGTACTCTCCCAATCAGCCAAACAAAAGTTGAGTGTAACTGTAGATGTCTATTTTGTCTGGCAACAACAAAACAAACAGTCTCTAATATGGCAGTTCCAGAGAAGGCTAATTAGATGCCTGGAGTTTCAACCAGGCCTTCCTGTAATAGGATACTACCTTCCTTTAAGAGGCTGCACACTCACAAATAATGAAGAACACTCTTAGGTATCAAATGAAACTATGGATGAAATCTGGAATTCTGTTCCCACATAGTGGTAGTTGCCTTTCCCCTTCCCAAGTAGTTATAACATGGCCCACATTCTTCTTACAAAATACCTTAAATGCCCAAGCCCCACCTCACTGTAAGGTGCTGACTATACAGGACTTCTGGCTTCAACTCTGTGTGGCAATCATCATATAAGAAGTTAATGTATATTTGAGATGCATTGATAGTGCAAATCTATAAAGCCAAAAGTCTTGAGATCTGATTCAAAGAGGAAAACTATGTACTTCCTGCCTTCAGTTTTATTGGGCTTTCACAAGTATTCACACATTTCCACAATCCTCAACCTTCATCTTAAGACAAAAATTATGACATTAAGAGAAGAGGAATGGTCTATTCACAGAGAACGCAAGTGACAAAGTCAAAATGGATCCAGTCTCCTACCTACATACATGCTCAGAATGTAACCCCTTGCAAGCATTGTTAAGGGTGACTAGGATACACAAGTCAAAGCTGCTTCTCCCAGGATTACACAGTTTGATAGAGAAACTGTAAGTTTGTTTACCTCTCACCCCATACTTAAGATCACATACCATGCCTGTTAACACATCAGAAGATGGGAAGCTCTAGCAGATGTTTAGAGACAATGCCTGCTTCTGCCTAAGACCAAGGTTGTAGATCCAAGTGGCATGTGAGGGAAGGTTTCCATCTCAGGATAACACAGGACTCCTCAGGAGTTTTCCTTCTCTGGAAAGCTCCCAAAAGACCGTTTGAGGAGTGGGAGAAAAGAAGGAAACCGACAAGAGCTGTGTTCTTTCTAATAGTCCTCAATCTCCCTTATCATCTTAGGTACAACGACAGAGTTACCAGGTTATCTGAACCATCTCCCAAGCACTGCCAATAATAATTTTTTGATGTGTTCAGTCACTCAATCTTGTCTGACTCGTTGTGACTCCATGTACAGCGAGAACCCTGGGCTCGCCTACCCTTCAAATCTCCCAGAGTTTTCTCAAACACATTATCTTTCAGTTAGTGATGATTTGCAGCCATCTCACCCTCTCTCATTCCCTTTTCATCCTGCCCTCAATCTTTCTCAGCATCAGATTTTTCCTCAGTGACTTTGCTCTTGGCCTCAGGTGGCCAATATATTGGCTCTTCATGTACAGCATCAGTCCTTCCATGAATAGTCAGAGTTGATTTCCTTCATGCTTTACTAATTTGAACTCCATGCTCACCATGGAACTCACACATCTTCTCCAGCCACAATGTTGCAAATCATTGGTATTTTGGCATTCAGTTCTTGTGGCCTTGTTCACTCCTCCATATGTTACTCCTGAAAATCAACTTTGATTATTCGGATCTTTTTCAGTTATCTCAGCTTTTTAATATGGTGTTTAGATTGGTCATAGCTTTTCATCCAGAGGGCAAGTGCCTTTTAGTTTTATGGCTACAGTCTCTTCCCACAGTGATATCGGAGGTCAAGAAAGTGAAACCTGTCACAGATTCAATTGTTTCCCATTGGTATACCTCAGAATGATGGGACCAAATTCCATGACCTTATTGTTATTTTTTTAAATTGGGTTTTAATCCAGCTTTTCCATTCTCTCCTTTAACCATCATAAGAAGGCTCTTTACCTCCTAGTGTTTTTCAGCCATTTGTGTCTTGTCATCTTATAACTAAGGTTATTCATACTTCTCACAGTAATTTTGTTGCCAGCTTCAGATTTTTTCAGCAAGTTACTTTCCATGATGTACACTCCACAGAAGTCAAATAATCTGGGTGACAATATATAGCCCTGATGTGTTTTCTTTCCTATTTTGTACAAGTTAAATTTTCCTTGCCCAGTTCCAATTGTTGTATCTTGGCTTGCATGCACGTTTCCCAGGAAACAGATACGGTGGTCTGGTATGCTTATCTCTTTAAGAATTTTCCACAATTTGTGGTGACCCACACAGTCTAAGGGCTTCCCTGGTGGCTCAGATAGTAAAGCATCTGCTTGCAATGGATCCAAGTTTGATCCCCAGGTCTGGATGATCCCCTGGAGAAGGAAGTTGTAAGCTACAGTCCATGGGGTCACAAAGAGTCACATACGACAGAATGACCTTACTTTCACACACAATCTAAGCTGTTAACAGAGACAACAAAATAGATGTAGATGACTTTATGAAATACCCTTGCTTCTTCTATGATCCAAACTACAATTAAGGTTTACATATTAAGAGTAAATGACTTGGGGCGCGGCACAGCGGCGAGAAGAGGCCGGGCGGAGGGCGCGCGGAGGGGCGCGGACGCCGCTGGGGCCTGCCGGCCGCACCCGCGAACCCGCGAACGCGCGGCGGGCGGAGGACGCGCAGCTCTCGGCCGCCGCCCTCCAGCCTGGCGCTCGGGCCCGGCGCGGGCGGGGAGCGGCTGCTTCTGCCGGCGCCTTCACCCGCTCTGCCCCGGGACCACTCCCAGGAAAACTCCGCGGCGGGGAGGCGCCCGCGACCCCGCCCCGGCCTGTGCGCGCGGCCTCCTTGAGCCCGGCCCAGGCGGGAGCCGAGCGGTGCGTGGGCAGCAGACGGCGCCCGGGTCTCTGCTCCAAAGCCAGTGTGGCCACGGGCCTTGTTCTCTACCTCCTTGCTCTTCCTGGGACCCCGGAGATGTCTGGGCCTGAGGTACCTGTCTTAGAAGGGCTCCTGCTCGTTACGCCCCCAGAACCCAGTGTTCCTGGGCCAAGAGGTGCCCTGGTGGCATCCTGCCCGTTCTCCTCCACTTCCTACGCTCCTGGAGAACCAACATTTTTTCCTTCTGCTTCAGCTAAGTGCCTCAGGGGCCACATGGAGCCAGTGACCTCAGAGGAGCTGCACCCTAAGAACTAGGGAAATGATGTTAGACAAAAAGCAAATTTGAGCGATTTTCTTGAGTTCAAAATGGTTCATAAAGCAGTGGAGACAACTCACAGTATTAGCAGTGCATTTGGCCCAGAAACTGCAAATGTACCTACAGTGCAGTGGTGGTTCAGAAAGGTTTACAAAGGAGATGGCGGCCTTGAAGATGAGGAGCACAGTAGCCAGCCATTGGAAGTTGGCAAGGACCAACTGAGAGGGTCGTCAAAGCTGATCCTCTTAAAAATGCACGAGAAGTTGCAGAAGAATTATGTGGTCATTCGACATCTGAATCAAATTGGAAAGGTCAAAAAACTCAATAAGTGAATGCCTCATGAGCTGACCTCGAATTTAAAAAAAAGTCGTCATTTTGAAGTATTTTCTCTTATTCTATACAATAACAAACAATTTCTCAATTGGATTGTGACGTATGACAAAAAGTGGATTTTATGTGACAACCGGCAGCAACAAGCTCAGTGGTTGGAACAAGAAGCTCCAAAGCACTTCCCAAAAGCCAAACTTGCCCCTCCTAAAGGTCATGGTCATTGTTTGGTGGTCAGCTGCCGGTCCAATGCAGCTTTCTGAATGCCAGTGAACCATTCCATCTGAGAACTATGCTCAGTTAATACATGAGAGATTCTCCATAAACTGCAACGCCTACAGCTGGCGCTGGTCAACAGAAAGGGCCCAATTCTTCTCCACAACAACTCCCAACTCCACATCACACAGTCAGTGCTTCAAAAGTTGAAAGAATTGGGCTACGAAGTTTTGCCTCATCCGCCATATTCACCTGATCTTTCCCCAACCCACTTCTTCAAGCACCTTGACAACTTTTTGCAGGGAAAACACTTCCACAACCAGCAGGAGGCAGAAGAAGCTTTCCAAGAGTTGGTTGAATCCCAAAGCATGAATTTTTATGCCATAGGAATTAGCAAACATTTCTTGTTGGCAAAACTGTGTTGATTGTAATGGTTCCTAATTTGATTAATAAAGATGTGTTTGACCCTGTTTAAAAAAAAAAAAAAAGATTAAATGACTAAATATACCTGCTTTTTTTTTTTTTTTTTTTTTTTTGTCTCTCTCTCTCTTTCAAGCTATAATCTACCAACTGTTACATTCCTGGGCACTTGCCATCTTCTTATACAAGAATTAAATTATGCCCAAGCCAGTCTCTGACCTTTGACACCCACTTAAAATATTAAAGTTTCCAGAGAAGAAATAAGGAATCTGTGCTCTGGGAAAGTGTCAGGACAGTTTGACAAATAGCTAGATATTTTCAGGAACTGACTTTTTGAGCCCAATTCATATATCATCTCTTATCTTGAAAAGAATTATGTTTTCTCAAGGTGATGACAATTCCTTATTAGCAGAAATTTCAGGAAAAATAAATGTGCTTATTTGCATGTTTGAAGTCAGTGAGGTATCAGTTATTTGTGTATGTATGTAACCTCCAATAAAACAGATTAATTCATGTCAACTAAACTTTGTTGTTTTACTGGCATGCATAACAGAATTTCAGAACTTGCCTGGAAAGAAAATCAGAAGTTCCAATTTGGCAGAAAATAAGAGGATGTTGACTGTAACTCTTTTCATGGAGGCATCACAAATAATGCTACTATAAAGGCAACAGTTCCCCCAGAGCATCAAATGAATATTAGCAGAAGACCTTGTGAAATAGAGAGGACTATAAGGAAACTAGACATAACTGGGAAGAATGGAGGGAACATGAGAGAAGGAGGATGGGAGGAACAGGACCAAACCTATCTCTTGGGGTGGGAGATGGAGAAGGGAATTTGAGGATTCAGGCAAGTCACCTCACTAAACATAAATTACTTTTGACTGAAAGGAAACAAGGTGAAGAAGCTGATGAAATATAGTTTGTGTAGACTGAAAATCAAACAGAGAATGTGTGGTGTGGTCCTACATGCCCCAAACTGCAATGCAGGTCAACCCATGTGCATAGGGCCTGGAAGATGAAACATGTGGCTAGAAAGCCAACCTGGGAGGGAACTGCTTTTGACTATGTGGATACGGAATGATGGATCCGGGATGATAAAGTTTGTAGAAAGGAATACCTATTGAAAAATCCCAAACTGACAATTAAGCAAGATCCTAGGGCTCAGTCAGACAGAGGAGGTGGTGACGTCATTAAATCCACCCCCCCCCCCATGCCTCTTCCTACATGTTAAGACCTACTCATGCCTCTGCCATCACAGGCCAGAAAATAATCCGATTATGGCCACAACTTTTCTGCCTGTGGTTGCTGGCTGCTCTGCAAAACTGACATAACCAGTGTTCCTACAGTCCAAGGAGCTGTACCACTTCCTTCTGTGCTTACCAAGGCGGGCCCAAGTGCTCCACAAGGGTCTTGGGGCAGGCTCCTCTAGTGGCCACATGGAGAGGTTGTCATAAAACTACATCTGAGACCCACTCTTTGGGCAACTAAGGAAAAAGATTGAAAACTTTCCCACCAGCTCAGCAAGCTGCAGATTAAACCCACACAATCAACTGTGTAGACTCTGTTTGTGGGATACAAAAAGGACAATAGATTTTCAGTGAATGAAAATACGCAGTTTCTGGCAGCTCTAAGAACAAATAGGAGTTACCCCAGTTTAGAGTCTGATCTGTCCCTACTGAGGATCCAGCGTTCAGTTCTGCCACATTTGAGTGAGCTTTCTCGAGAGGTGGAGCTGTGCTGTGGCTCATGTTTGGGGCAAGAACACTGACAGCAGGGACTCTAGGTAACATTCATTATACTTACTAAGTTTTGCTATGCTGTATGGTTGATTCACTCTTCTTCCCACTTGTAGACTTTCTTATTATTCTTGCTTACTTGGTGTTTTAAGATTGTTTAAATAATATATTGATTTTTAGTATGTATATATATATCATGTACTTTTGTTTCCTGCTTTCTGTGTCTTTTATTGATGCTGCTTCTTGTAATTTTTGTTTTAATTGGTATATATTTCTATATTAACTGTGACTATCTGTTGTTCTGTGAGAAAGTTCTTGTCATTTTTGTCAGATTTTTTTTCTTTATTCTTCAGGCAGTACTCTGTTCTGGCATTGTTTTATGTCTTGAAAGTTGTTTGCTTAGTTCTAATGTTGATTCTGTGTTCTTCCCTATTGTGATTATTGCTGGTGCTATTTTACTTGTTGTTTATTTTGATTTCTTGTCATTTGTCTGTCTTCCTTTTTTTTTTTTTTTTTCCTTTCCTCTGTCTAATCTTTTCCTATGTGATCTTGGTTCTCTGACCAAAGTTGGGCTTGATCATCTAGGGTTTCAGCACTGTATAGAGGATCATAGACCACCAGAGAATTTCTGGCTCCAGTGAATGTTAATTGATTATAGTCTCTATGAAGGCCTTCATGTGAAACTAATAACCATTTCCACCCAAAAGCCTATACTATCCAGAGCTTACGCCTCACACCACACAAAAACCAAAACAGAAAAACAAGCCAAATCATCCACAGGTGGACTGCCTAAAGTCAGATGAAAATCCATACATACCTGCAAAAGACACATGGTCCTGGCATGAGAGAGAGAAACGTCAGCTGTGGACACAAGAATATAGTTGCCAGTCCCCGCCCCACCCCGGCCAAGAACACACAAGCCACTGGACCAAATTTATCCACTCAGGGCACAGACTGGAAGCAAGAACTACAGCCCTGCACCCTCAGAAGAAAAGACCATTATCATAGTAAGATAAACAAATGTGAAGACAGTAAAGTACATTGCAGGCAAAGAAACAAGGTAAAAACACATAAGACATAATTGAAGAAGAAATAGGAATTGTCACTGAAAAATAATTGAGAGTAACGATAGTAAAGATGATCAAACATGTCAAAAAATAAATGGAGATCATGCAAGAAACATTTAAGAAGGGCGTGGAACAAGTAAACAACAATAAATTAATGATAACACAATAGCTGCTATATGTGTGCTGTAGGCTAATGCTTGCCTTTGTATAGCAGAACCCAGAAAAACATTAGAAAATAATTGTCTTCCAATTGAAAAATTAAGCATTAAAAGAAACACAAACTTTAAATAAGACAACAGACCTGACAATTTGATTGATACTTAAGTAATTTCATCCAAACCAGTAGAATGCAGTTTCTTCTCAAGGACAAATGAAATATGTCTGGATAAATCACAAACTGGATCACAAATCAAGCTTTGATAAACTTAAGGTAATTAATTGTATCAAACTTTTTTTTTTACCATAACTTTATGATTTACATGTCAGTCATGGGGGGGAGTGGGGAGCAAAACAAAAACAAACAAACAAAAATATGTAAATAACAAATAAAAAACCTAAATAAACTAAATAAACTAAACGAATAAAAAGCATGAATACATTAAGGCTAATGTATACACCTCTTCGTAGCCAATAAATCAATGAAGATATGCATACAAAGAAATAACAATAAAAATGTAATTGCATAAAACCTATGGAACAGGATAAAACACTAAAAGGATAAAGATTATAACAAAGAAATGTCTCAAATATCAACCTAACCTTACAACTAAAGCAATTAGAGAAAGAAGAAAAAACACAAAACCCAAAATCTGTTTGAAAAAAAAAAAAAACATAGAGAATAGAACAGAAAAAAGAAAAAGATGAAAACAATAGCAAAGGTCAATAATACTAAAAGAGGGCTCTTGGATAGCATAAAGAAAATACATAAATCATGAGCCAGACTCATCAACAAAAAAAGGAGAACATTCAAATCAATAAAGTTAGACATGAGAAAGAAAATGTTATAACCGATAGATACCACAGAAATATCAAAGGATCAGGAGAGACTACAACAACTTTAAGACAATAAAATGTAGAACCTGAAAGCCAGAGATAAATTCTTAGGAACTCAACTAAGAGGAAACAGAAAATATGAGCACAACATTACAAGCGCTAATATTGAAACTGTTATGAAAAATTTTCAGTTAACAAAATTCAAGGTCCAGATGACATTACAGGTAAATTTTATGAACT